TCTCTAACACAAATGTTATAATAATAACATCATCAACAATACAAATTAAATGCTTATAGAAAATACTACAAATGGCGCGGTAAACGCCATCTGTAGTGCGATGCTACATTTTAGGAATATATATTGAATACAGACCACTTCGAATTATTTTAAATGCATATGGTTGTTACATTTGCATATTAGTTTTTAATCACTTTTTGTTTGTAATTTAACTTCAGTTGAACAGACAACAGACTTCGTTTGATTTTTAAGTTAGGTTAGATTCACACAAAGGCGGTTGGACGCGGCATTTAATAATGTCTCGCATTTTACTAAGCATTAGAAAGACTACAAAAGGTTTTTGTAATTCAAACGATCGTAAAGACCAAGTTCAAGGCCTGTGAAAACATCCAAGTTATGTCTAAAGATTTTTCCAAAATAATGAGATCCAATCAAGATATTTCCGATTATTTTTAATATCTCATAAATACGGATTGGAACATTAGCGTAAGGATGAATCAACAACATCGAGGGTGTTTGCGATTATAGAATTTTTCACTCTTGATCCATTCCTGGGGTCAGTAACATACATTTCCACTTAAATAACAATCAAGATATTTCATTGTTTCAAGATATATGTATGAACAACATTTACCATATACAATTCAAAATTGTCCATTAAATTACTTACCGCGATATCGCAAATGTATTATGTGTGCAATCGGCTTACGACAAGAATTTTAATGACTTCGTTTGCCGCTTGAATTGCGATTTCAGCTACTTATGCTGAAAGTTATATAACAAGCATCGAATTGCACGATACACTTTTATTATTCTAATTATTGCTGTAAGCGTATACCGACTAACTAACCACTTCAAACATTTTGCTGTTGCATGTCTATTAACACCAATATTGACCAAGTGTTTATGTATTTGTTTCAGGTACGGATCTCCACACATGCTCATTTCTACTGCTACCACACCACATTACCTTTCAAGGCAAAAACATGTAAGAAATCTTTTTGTTTTATTAAATCGCACGGTGATTTTTTTTCTTTAAATTTTTTGATTCTTATTTGATTTGTTTTCATGATTGCTGTACGAAGTAAGATATCTATTTGTTATTAACGACACAATTTTATTGACACATCAACATCATAACAGATTTACCACTGTCGACTAACTGTATTATTCGTCCCGCCATCTGACTGCACTTATTATATACTATAATTGTATCAGACATTGTCGTCTGTGTTCGCTAATATTACCTTGCACACGTGATACATAGTTACTGGTAAATGGCATCCTACTGAAGAAATTCAATAATAATGTAGAAATTTTACCGAAGATCAGCAAGTAACCACATATTTCTAACACAATAGAAACGAAATACCGAATCGTAACCGATGACGAATGAACTAACAACAAAAACGCTTGTTTTCAATTTGCCCACCAAAAATAGAAAATTTTATTTGAAACATTGAAATAGTTTGATGCTAACTGCATTTTGCAGTTTCTAATCAAATATACTAATTCTTCATCATCATAAGGTCGTTAGTCCTAAGACTGGTTGGACACGCACCTCCACTCTATCTTATCCTGAGCTAATTTTTCGCATTTCCCTAAAACTAGAACATCCCACATCCTTAGCTATTTATGAACAATAATCTAATCTATGTCTACCTCTACCCCTGCTAACTCCCGTTTCTGCGTCTAATATGTCTCTGACAAGACTTTCATGCCTGACAAGGTGTTTTACTAACCTATCTCACCTATTTCTTATTGACTTCCGTACTGTCCTCTGTTCTCCTACTCTTTCTAATACCTCTTCATTTCTAACCTTTTTATCCACGGTTTCCTCATCGTTCGTCTGTAACACCACATTTCTAACTCTTCTAACATTTTCTTTTCTGCAGCGCCTACCGTCCATGTTTCGCACCCGTACAGCGCCGCCCTCTAAATATACACCTTTAACAATCTTTTTCGAATTTCTAAATTTTTATTGAAGGCGACTCTACCCTGTGCTATCCTCTGTTTTATATCCTTACTACTTCATCCGTCCTGACATCTCTACTCCTTCAGTCTTGACTAGTTCGATTGTTATTGGAATTCTTACTTTTTGCGAATAATTTTTACTAAATAACATTTATCTCCCTTGGAGCATGAAAAATATTCGAATAACTCTATAGAATAGTCCAAGATGTTATATTTCTAAAAGATTTCGCAGCTGACTGAAGCTAATCGGATTTTTTATTTACTAAACTAATTGTATACGTATAAAAAAAAGCAAAATTCCCTCTGCAAATAACATGGTTACGAAACACTACATCCTTGGGTTTCTATTCACCACAACGTTACACGTTTTAATTTGATTTCTATCAAATAATCAAATAAAAAGCACAAAACCATTAACCGTATCATTCACTTTATGCTAATTAGCGAATAAACTTGAACTTGTTTAAACAACAACAATTTCAAAACATAAAATGTGAAATATTGCTTTGAATTTTATTAACTATTTATTTAGAAAATTTGTTTATGTACAACACCACGTGTGTATCTATTTAATTTATTTTATTTAATTCTGCTTTGATTATTCAAAAGAAAGCAGCCGTGACTCGTGTAAACCATGCTTTTGATTGTAAACAACACGTTCGTTGACGCAATAAATAAACTAATCTAGTATATAAGCTACTTATCAACACTTATTTAAAGTAAATAAATGGACATATTAGTTATCATAACAAAAATTATACAAAATATTGCACAGCAGAGTAAGTCGGGTTTCATATATTATTTGTTTATTTAGATAGTAATAAAACTTAATTTAAGCGCAAAATCATGTATAATACTGTTAAGAAAATCACTGTTTGGAAAATACACCAATAGATGGACATAGTCGAATTAAAGCAAATTTTAAGTAGTTATAATACCAATCATTTTAAATAATCCGCTTATAATCATCATAAGGTAGTCAGTCCTAAGACTGGATCGACATGCACCTCCACTCCTTCCTATCATGTATATATTACATAAGGAATAAAAATCACTCTTAATCAAAGGACCCAGCAGTTTTTGATAGACGAATTTTCGGACGATTCTAATGAAACTGAGAAACAGCTCACTGAAAAATGTTGATCGAAAGAATTAATCGTTTATCCAAATCAATAATGGTCCACTTTGTCACACTATGGCAGTAAAATTAATCATGGAAACAAAAAATTTGTTGTATTGAAACACTACTCGGAACCACCCCTCCATTAATTTTTGTGCAATAATCCTAGATAACCCATCTCGATGGTCAAATGCCCCCTCAGCGTTCGATAGGAAAATAGTTTTCGGTCAGTTGTAATAAAACTTTGAGAAAATGTTATTTGAATAATGATGACCAAAAGTCTCCCAAACCTGTCAAGAATTAGCTTATTATCCAAATCGGCATTGGTCATCTTGACACCCCTTGGTAGTAAAACTAGTCATGGAATTCAAAAGCGTTTCATCGAAATACTACTTAAAAACACCCTTTCATTAATTTTTGTGAAATAATCCCAAACGATCCATTTCGAGAGGCAATGCAGCCCTCAGTTTTTGATGAAAAAGAGAAAATGCCCTTTGAATAATACTGTTAAGAAACCTCTTAAAATCGGTTAAGAATTAGTCTATTATCCAAATCAATATTGGTCAACTTTGATACCCCTTGATACGTCCCATTGAAGCACTGCTCAAGAACACCCCTTTATTCATTTTTGTACAATAACCTCAAATGGTTCATCTCAAAAATCAGTGAGCCCTTTAGTTTTTGTCAGGAAAGTGGTTTTCCGTCAATTGTAATGAAACTTTGCGAAAATGTTCTTTGAATAAAGTTGATCAAAAATTTCTCAAAATAAGTCAAGAATTAGCCTATTATCCAAATCAACATTGATCAATTAAACACCTCATGGTAGTAAAACTAATCAAGGAACGGAAAAACGTTCCACCAAAACACTAGTCAGTAACACCCTTCTATTAATTTTAGTGGGATAATCCCAGACAGCCCATCTCCAAAGTCCGACTCCTCAGTTTTTGATGAGAAAATGGTTTTCGATCGGTTGTAATGAAAATGTTCTTTGAATAAAGCTGCTCAAAAATCGGTCAAGAATTAGTCTATTATGCAAATGAACACTGCTCAGCTTAGACACCTCTTGGCAGTAAAACTAATCATAGAATGGAAAAACATTCCACCAAACCACTACTCAGGAACACGCTTTTATTAATTTTAGTGCAATAATCCCAGACTGCTCATTTTGAAAATCAGAAGACTCCTTAGTTTTCGATGAGAAAATGATTTCGATCGGTTGTAACGAAACTTTGAGAAAATGTTCTTTAAATAAAGCTGCTCAAAAATCGACCAAGAATTAGTCTATTATCCAAATTAACATTGGTCAGCTTAGGCACCTCTTGGCAGTAAAACTAACCAAGGAATGGAAAAAGTTCCATCCAAACACTATTCAAAAACACCCTTCTATTCATTTTCGTGTCATAATCCCAGTTAGCCTATCTCGAAACTCGGAGGACTCCTCAGTTTTTGAGAAAATGTTCTTCTGAATAATGCCTATCAAAGCCCTCTCAAAATCAGTCAATGCGGAATAGAACGTAACGATTAGGCATCGTATATTTTTGTAAGAACTTTGAGGTTTTTCTTTCGGCAATAATAAGTATTGGGCGCAAATTATTCTCTTTTCCAATATTTTGATCATTACCTGTGCTAGATAACACCTACAGGTTGAAATGCCCAATGACTAATAGGCCTAAACTTAATTAATAATTCTCGACTTAATTCTATATTTAACAAAATTATGCATATATATACATAATGCACACAGGTAGGTATTCAAAATACGTAGTAATAAAGTTTTCAAACCATGATTTAAAGACCGTAGCAAATTTTACGTAATTAATTTTAGGATATTTGACTTTGTGAACAAAATTGCTACCGCTGGAAATAGAACAAGAAATTTAAACAATAAAATCAGAGAAAAACTCACCTTACTGAAGGAAATTACTGAAGCTTCACTGTACATCACTGTTAAACCTGCAATTATAATTCATAATTAGTTTACAAATAATTACAACTGATTAAGGTACATAATTAGAATTTAGAATATGACACACATTTTAAAATAGTAACAAAAAAAATTAAATATTATTTATTATCGCCCCTATTTTATTAGGCGATTTGGTAACGTACAAAGGCCGAAAGGAGTGAAATTACCAATTCTTACAAAAATTTCACCCTTAATTAGAGAGTTTTTTTACCTTTAATAACGAGAGTAATATTGTTACAATAATTTAACAAAAAATAATATTATTCACCCTTAATTACGCTTTATCATTATGTATATACTTAATAGGACATAAATAGAACTTAGTTTAAAATTATTTCGAAAACGAATAAACGTTTGTAGGTAGTCTAGNTATCAGCCTTGGAGGAGATTATGTTGAGAAATAAAAAAAAAAAATTTTTAAAAACCTTGTTTTTCTTGGTCAGGCCGGAAACTTATCAATCCACCCTCGTATACTTTTAATTACAAAGCTTCATGGGGATATCGTCACTTATTTTTCAATTTGGTAATGATTTGGAAGTCTTAAAACATGTAGGACAAGAAGTTTGATAAGAGATCGTATGTTTAGACTAGTTAGTCATATGTAGGAGACGGGGACTATAAACGGAACGTACAACAGTAAGAGCCATGCTAAAAAAGAGGCGCGGATAAATGATAGAAGTTTAGGACAATTAGCTTAACTTCCCATGCGTCAAAAATCTTAATTGGAATCGTGCAGGGCATGATCGAAAAAAGGGCAGAAGAACTACTAGGGGAAGACAAATTTGGGTTTAGAAGAAATAAGAGGAACGCGAGAAGTCATTTTAGCTTTAGGGGTAATAATAAGTACATAAAACAATAGAAAAAAAGTAAGACCGCATACATAGGATTCGTAGATTTAGATTTCGAAATGAGGCGAATGATGAGAATACCGTGGGTAGAGAAGGTTAAAAATGAGGAGGTGGTAGAAAGAATAGAAGATCGGAGGTCACTATGGAAGTCAATAAGAAATATGCGAGACAAATTGGTATCACACCTTCTCAGGCATGAAGGGCTAATTTTGTAGACATATTAGAAGTAGAAACAGGAGCTAAGGGGAGTGTAGGTAGACCTAGATTAAATTACTATTCACACTTAGTTAAGGATGTGGAATGTTGTGTTTTTTTGGGAAATGCGAAGATTATCTCAGGATATGAAGGAGTAGAGGTGCGTGTTCAACCACTTTAAGGACTGACGACTTTATGATGATGTGAATAATTTGTTGAAAATTACTTCCGGCAGGATTTACAATGTAACAAACTTAAGCAACAAGTTTTCGGGCTTCCTCAAGAACACCATGGTAATATTACACCTAAAATATTAGTATTAATATTGGGAGTTGTTAGCATCCTTAACTGCCTTATTGAACGTTGTAATGTCATAAGTTTACATGCGACAGGCGGGTTTGTAATGGTTATAGAACCCAAAAAAAAAGACTACATGAAATTATTGTGTTCGTAAATCCATGAGTGACTGAAACTTTGTATGCAAAATGCGTTCGACTGTACAAACACAAACAGAAACATACTCATCGTTCTTTTTTTTTCTTTTTCAATTATGAAGAGTAATTCAATGTAAGTATTCATATGTACCACACGACATATGCATTATTAGTATTGTATACGTGTTTGTGTCTACGAACACAATTCAGAACAAATCTGGAACACTTTTGAATAGAACGTTTCCTCGGAAAGGAATAAAAGGGGGACAACTCGTCGACAACGTAGTGAACAATAATATATCATTGCATCGTGTGGCAAGCAGCAAGCCCTCTTATTTTTCTTCGCTTCATTATCGCTTTTCTGCGTATTATATGTAAATGGGACTTCGGACATATGCAAGCCTTTTGCAACACTTATTTATGTTCCCCTTCAGATGAAACAAAGACTGTTGTTCCTAGCGAAACAAAAAAAAACTGTTTTGCCTTTCGCGAAAACCGTTTCTTCAGCTGCAACAATCGACTCGGGTTGTTTGTGCCTGCAGGTTGGGTGGTCCATTAGAATCAAAATGGTACCAAGTCCTTTGATATTTCAACCCTGACAAACGAGGTTTTATTAAATTAACTTAGCTGCACGCTGTGACATCGTTTGGATGTTTTTTAAGTTTATTATTATTCTCCGTCAGTGAAGGTTTCGGTTTTCAGGTGCAGGGATTGACGTCAAAGATATAGGGGTTGTAAGACTATCGCTTCAAAGGACTCCATATACAGAGTTAGTAAAGGTGATAATTGAGTTCCGACGTCTGGTCGGAACGTTATAGAATGTCACAAATTGTTCCTGAATGCCGTGCATTTACAAGATTCGAGATTATTTTAGAATTTTCTAGAAGGTTTGAGAACATTCCCGAATGATAACTATTTAATTTTTCCTGACCGAAGCAAGGTTTAATAGAAAATAAAATACCAAAAGTATGACATTTGTTTCTAATTGTTGTAATATATAATAAATAAATAAATGAATGAAATTGTTTTTAATTACTCACTTTAATGTAGCATTGGATTTACAATTGTTTCGATCCGTTGAGCCTTTCTCAAGTAAACGAGGTCATCCAATTGGACACTTTTATCTTTTTTGGTAGTTAAATTATTGGATATTCCTATTTCATTCACAGAATTATCCGAAGTAGAAATTGGATTTCAAAAAGGTGAATATTGAAAGCTATATTTCTTGTCAAGTTAGAATCAGGACGTTAAGCTTTTATACTTAAAGGGTATCAAGTAGATTTATATACATTTGCTAACATTGATTGTAATCATTAAAGACAGTACAACTTTAGGGATAGATGTGCAAGGGCAAAACATTAGTATGCTTAGATTTGCAGATGATATAGCAGTTTAAGCATCTAGCAAGGAGGACCTAGAGATAGCTTTAAATAAAATGGAAGCGGTACTGACAGATCAGTACTGTATGAAAATAAATAAAAGTAAAACTAAAATACTGATATGCAAGGGAAGAAAAAGTAGGGAAAGAGCGAATATAAAGATAG